GCAGCTCAGTTCTCTACTGCACGAGTTCTTTTCTCTCCGTCTCTCCATATTCACTGTGTTAGCGCCATCATCCTCGCGTAGGTGGCGGGAGCTTCTTCCAGTTTCGGCAGCGGTGGAGCTCCACACTGAAACATCCACCGTTTGACTCACTCGTAGTACGTTCGTGTTCTTGCTTCAAACTAGGTCAACAAACTCAGGGTAAAGCAATGACGTGCTCATGCATCTGTCAGTGGATATTAGGCGTATCATTGTTATTAGGCAGGAAGACTGCCTGAAGACAATTGTAACTCACTCTATTGTCTGTGCAGAGCTTAATTTATCAACTTGCCCAACAGAACATTGATTTGGGTCTTTTTTCTTTTTCTTTTTTTTTTTTTGGACTAATTGAAACAATGAATGTGCACCGGCCAAATGTTTAACACTGTCATTATTAATGCAATGGATCCTTTCAGTGACGTGTTCTTCTTACTGAACGACACCCAGTTGTCATGTCATGTTGCATCCCGGGGAAGATTATGAATATGGAATGCAAACTACTTTATTAACATTTAACCAAAACTACAGCCTCTCCCAAATCTTAACCAGAGTGCTTCTGTTGCCCAAACATAACCACATGCCACAGCTGTGATTGCCTTTTTGTTTCTTGCTAATGTTTGAATCAGAGAATCTAATATACTTGCCACATATGATACTACAATTAGCTAGTGATGGCAGCTACTTGTCTTAATCATACTGTGTTGTAACGACTTTTCTGCATCTAAACGTGGTTAGCGGTTTTGAGAGAGGGCTGTGTCGGGTCACTTCTGGCAGCTGTCTTAGTATCAAATCCTGCTCAAATTGGTGAGGATTCACAGGGATCAGAGCTGATGAGGTACTGGCACTGGGTTCCCAAAAGAAGGATATTATGAAGGATATGGAGTAGATAGACTCGAAGATAGAAGTGTAAAACTCCAAATGATGGAATTTCTTGTGTAGTAATAGCGGTGCTTTTCCTCCGGTCCCAGATGTTTTCAGATCTCTGGCTTCATGCCTGTACCACAGCACATTGAAACTATTTACCAGAGGCTCATGGCAGCGTAAGACACCATTGGGCTCCCGTAGGCATGAATCAGCGCTAAACAACACGGGGAACAATACTTTTGAAGAGTTTCACTCTCGCACAAAAAGACTTCACAGTAGCGCTTGACCAAAACGTTATTTATTAATATAAGCAATGTACCACGCACTAGAAAAAAGATACCTATTTTCACTCTAGATCCTGTTTTCATAAAATATTTCCCTTCGGAGTGCTGATCCAGGATCAGAGCGGCTTTGTTTTTGTACAGCCTCGCCCTCCAGAGACCTCGCTGACAATCAGGACTAAATTGGTTCGCAGGGTAAAATAGCAGTAATACACGACTTTGTGTCACCTCGGTGCAAACAATGCACCGCCTTTCAGAGAAACTATGATGCAGGTGATGAGGTCTCCAGAAGAGGCTCTTGAGTGAGTTAAATTTGCTCGCCAGTACCGATCCTGGGTTAGTACTCTGATTCCAAAGAGGCTTTATAAATACAGGTCCCAGTCAGTTGAAACACACAGGTGATTTTCATTAAGACGTAGAAAATAGTGATTTTGCTTTATTGAAGTATCTCAACGGACTAAGACACTTATAAAGTGTAGTAGAAATATCAGAGGTGAGGAGAGTTTACTGCGGTGTAGGCCAAGCTCTGTTCAATTCAGTCAGTTCATAGATAGATAGGTAGGCAGGTAGGTAGATAGATAGATAGATAGATAGATAGATAGATAGATAGATAGATAGATAGATAGATAGATGTAATGACAAAATACTAATCAAATTTCACTGTCTCATGTGAGCTAATATATTAAATCAGCAGAGTAAGTAATGGTCCACAGGGTAACAGCCCTTCTGCTGTTTCTCTAGCATCACTCGAGGCAATCTGATTTGTAATTACAAACCTCTGGACAGGACGCAAATGTGTCTGGAGGCCTTATGAATATGTAGGACCCCGAAATATAAACTCATTTAGGCTGCTTGAACTGACTGAACTGGAACCAGATTGACTCCGGCCTCGCTACTGGCCTAACATACATTCCATATATAACTGTATGAAAATAGAAACATTAATTAGATACATCTTACATAAAAGCTTTTCTCTGAACATACAAATACTGGGGGAAAAGTGTGTGTTTGTGTTTGTGGGGGGGGGAGGAGGAGGAGGAGAGGAAAAGGGGGGTTGATTGTTCTACAAAGCGAAACAACTGCAAAAAACACCATATAACAGTAAACAGAACCAAAATGTTTCAAACGCCGTCGGTACCGTCCATCCCTGTGTGTTTGTTTTTTTGTTTTGTTTTTTTTTTTTTGAACATGTGTGTCCGTATGCCTCCATATATGGCATCAATTTTACATGTTTGAAGGAGGAGATGTGGGACTCATCCTGAATCATTCATTTTTTAACACCGCGCTGTGTACAGTATGTGAGTGTATGGGGGTATCACACCATATAGAACCTATTTTACAGCACCTGTGATCATTGCCAGCTGGGCACAAGACGATGTGTCCTTAGGGCCCTGCATATAGCAGGACATCAAAAATCCCTTTCATTTTTCATCAGGAAAAAAGAAAAAAGTTAAATTAAGCTTTCATCAAGACTCTTACCCAAGCTTATGTACCCAAGCTCTGTCTCTGAAACTGGATGAAATGAGTCTACTGCAAAATAAATAGGCCATGTACAGTATGTGTGGTTGTATGTGTTTCACGGTTCAAGTGGCTTGTGGCCAAAACTAACGTTTCTGCAGCTCATTTGTACCAATATCCAACATATTTGTTTTGAATTATTTTCCTGCCAAAACAGTTATTTCATATTTACCCAGAATTACATCATGTGCAGCTGAAACCACCGCTGATGTAATTTATTTGGAGTTAGTAACACCTTAAAGGAATAGCTCAACATTATTGGTAATATGCTTATTTGCTTTCTTGCTGAGAGTAATATGAGATGAGAAACTACTCTCATGTCTGTGCGGTAAATATGAAGCTACAGGCAGCAACAGGCTATCTTAGCTTACAAGAAACAGGGGAAACAAATACTAATTTTATGGCCAAGACCAGTTGCCAGGCAACCAGCAGAAGTTAATCTCACATAACTCCCCCAAAAAAAAGGTGAAACTTTGGAGGTCCTGGTAGGTGAAAGTTTTTTCACCACCTTTTGACAACCTCTAAAACAGAAAACTACAATTTTATACTTTTTTAATGGGTTTTTATACAGATAAAAAACACAAGACTTAGTGTGCTAACTAACGACCTTTAGAGATCCTGGCGGGTGTATTATTTTATCTTTGGACAGAGCCAGGCTAGCTGTTGGTAAATTCAGTATAATATACATTTCCATGGCACTAATTCATTAGTACAACAACAGTGATGTTATACTAATCGCTCTCTCACTCTTTTTTAAACAGAAATAAATAACCACTTAATTCCAGTTGTTTCTTCTTTGCAGTACTCAATGTCAAGTTACTGTAAACAAAAATCAACACTTCCTGATGTTTTGTTTACCTCCATGTAAGTGTTGCAGCCTGCCGATAAAAGGATGGCCACAAGACTTTTTAGTGTGAAAATTCTGGAGGAAGTCTCTGGAGGAAGCTGATATGACTTTTGCTGTACTGATGGAGTTAGTGCCGTTTATACTGACTTTATTAAGACAAAAGGCAAACATGGGGGACGTTTGAGTTTGCATTAACTGGGAAACAGGGGAAATAACAAGCATGTCCTAAACACAGCCTGTCATAGAGGTAAATAAAAGCTCTGGCCACTATTTGTGAAATTACGGTATGTGCATTTCCCGAAATGTTGATTTTGCTCTTTAAGCCTTGGTAATCCACGAGCCCTATAAATAATAAAACATCTATATAAATAAGAATAAAAGTGCATGAAATATAAAACACGAAACTGTTTTCTTATAGCTGTTGTCATGAAGAAACCAGCATTTCTCTAACCCTAATCTCTTTATTCATGTACTGTAACATACATAATATGCCTGGGGATGAGATTAGCATGTTTAGTATTAGATTGGTATGTATTTACGCGGTTCTTATATATTTGGCGTGTAAGAATGTAACCCAGCATTTATTAAAAACACCCAAATCTTCTTGGCATCTACTGTAAACTGCATCGACTGGTCATAAAGCATCATGAACAAAAGCTCACTGACTTAATAAACAAGATTATACCAAACAACCACTGCCCCTGACACTAACTCATGTTTAACAATTAACAACTGATGTGTGAGCTAATTGACTTGCTGTGAAAATACAACTAATTCTAATAATAATAATAATAATAATAATAAGAATAAGAAGAATAAGAAAACAGTACTATTATTAGAAAGGAGAACTAATTCTAGGGTACAACTAAAACTAATGTGCTACAAAATGAAAACGGTGACTGTTAGTTTTAAACATCTCCAGTGGTGAGAACCGTGTTCTGGGTTTGTTTCATCAAAGAATAAACAGCTCAGCATGCAGTGGTGTGATGGATGAGGTAATAAAGATAATGGAGGGAACTCTGAAGCTGCGTCTCTCAGTGCTGCACCCTTTCTAAAGAAGGCACTATGGGTGCTTCGCCATCTCGACGACCAAGATTCAGCAATGCAACCCCCGTCCCCGAATGTCTCTGAAGTCACGGCCGTCTGTTGTTTGGTTTCTGAGAGAGTCATAAACGGAACCTATCCATTCAAGTTAATGCTGAAGGGCTTGTTGTTCTACTGCTGAGCATGTTATTCTCCTGGGAGCGCCACGGCTCAAAGTATCATGGCCTTTATACTGGTGTACAACAGCACACACATTGTTTCAGTTATGCCGCTCCAAAGGCAGCACATCTGGATCCGTCTCATTTCCTCTCCCACGCTTAGTTGTGACCTCTAATCATGAGCCGCAGTGCAAAGTGTCGGGTAGTGTGGCTGTTTCAGCGAGGGCCCACGGATCACGGGGCCATGACCCACTAGAGGTAGAGGTAGCTGACCCAGTAGACGATGTTGAAGAGCAAGAAGGACGTGGGGAAGAAAACCCGAGAGTAGGAATCCAGCTCGCTGATGTTGACGTGGATCTTTCCTTTCTTCCAGCCGCCTTCTTTACACTCCTCGTAGCAGCAGAAGAAGCTCTTGCAGTCCTTCCCGTCCAGGCATTCGTACAGACAGTTGTCGTCGTAGTCGTGCCAGAAGAGGGAGTTTCCCATGGGCATCATGGTCCGAGGGTTGCGACTCATGTTGAAAGATGAGTAGGCCTGAAAGGAAAGACAGAAAGAAAGTGTTAAGGTGGTAGAATTGACGTGTGCAGTGTCTTAGATCATTAACTTTTGAGGATACTGACTTTTTGCTGGGGAAATGTTAGCTTTAGCGTCTGTCTTTTAGCATGACAGCATGTATGTAGCCATCAAGAGCATATTTAACCTCTTTTACAGAGTTCTTATTGTAAAACAAAAAAGAAGTTATATGGACACATTAAAAAGTCTATAGAAGACAGCTTTTTGAACCAAATCATTGAGGTAACATTACCTCAATTAGCCAGCCAGCTGCTGCTCATGAACGTCTGCGGGAGACAGTTATCATTTGTAGCTGGCAAAATCAACGGTTGCTGGCTAGAAATAACAACCCTGCTTTTGTCTACATCTGTCTGAAATCAACGACCAACTGTTTTGAGAATTAGTAGGAAATTAATTTGGTGCACTATACACTGTATGCAGTGCAAGAATGCGTGGTGGCATGCCTTTATCAAAATGCAATCAGCCTTTGAACTGCATTGAGTTCTGGTACGGTGAAGCTGTAGTGGAGAAAAAGTGCTTTACACTCTCTTGATTGATCATTGATCATTAATGCACAATGGCAAGTCTATTAAGACATGTATTTATTGATGTCTTAGATTGCTGAAAAACTCCATCAAAGTCCATATCGATGTGCTGAGTACCATTATCTACATTTGTCCAGCTATTATTTGGAATAATAAAACACAGCATCAAACGACACAGTTGGCACATCGATGCAAAAAGCATTTGTGAATCAATGAGCTTTTTATAGTGATTTCTATTTTTCTTGAAAAATTCAAACGCTCTTGGAAAATAAACTATAATAGTGATGTTTAAACATATTTAATTTGAAGCAAAAATACTTATTTAAAAAAAAAAAATTATAAACATACAACAATAATCCTTATTCATTATTTTTTGTATAATGCAGCTGATTTTTTTAGACAGGAATGCTGAAGAAGTACTCCTGAGAAAATTCATTATGTGACTTCCTCCCTGATGTTTATAAAATCGTGTGGGACAACCTAATTGGGGTAAAATCTTCGCATGTTTTTCTAGTCCTCTCCTCTGCTGTTAAAGGAAGAGTGGGAGGCGAGAGAAAGAGAGCTAGATGCGTCGTATGGAGTAAGAGAACTGACTGAGTGGGCGGCACAAAGGGGCCACATGGATGAGGGGAGGGGGGTGGGATGGTGGTCATATGAGGCTTCCCCACAGACAGACTGGGCCGAAATACAGCAGCGAGCCAGAGATGCAGAGGAGGGGACCGAATGTAACACAACTTAATTGTTCAGCCCGAGCTGACAGTCTCTCTCTCTCTCTCTAGCCCTGAGACACATTCAGCAGAACTCCTCTACACTGGGAGGAAATAATGAAGAGGGAGGGGATCTGGAGAGAGTGAAATGACAGCGGCTGCTTCTCAGTCTGCTGTGTTCATAGATGTGTGCCGCCGCCATTAAAGTGTTTGCAGCAGGTGCAGACTTGAGAACGCCTGCACAAAGCATTAGGCTCTCATACAAGAGCAATTGCTAGACTGCACAACGTGTGCTCATACAGACACACGTCAGGCACTACACACATATATGTCAACACCCTATGGATCAATATGAGTTTCTGAAGGTTGATATTATTAAACTGAAAACACCAATAGCCAGCATTCAATCGCCTTTTTCTGTTCTTTCATTTTCACTGAAAAGATTACAAGCACTTCACGCTTGGTCTGTAGAAAACAAGGCTCTGAGGCATCATTTAGATCGTTGTTTGACACAGAGACTCCAATGTGAAACAGGCCTGGATGCACAGGAACAGATTCCCTAATACAATCACATCAACATATGTGCACTTCATGCTAATTTCCGTTTAGCTCATCATGTGGGCACAGACTTGTAAAAGGCCCTGCACCCCTCCTGCATTAGAGGGAGACACAACATGACTACAGTTAACATGGCTGTTTGTAGTTGTTTGTTCATTTTTTGCATCTCTCTATGATTGCTTTGTGTCTTTTTATAGTTGTTTTGAGTCCCTGCTGTTGTTTGCGTCTTTTTTGTAGTTGGTTTGTTTTTGTTTTTAGCCTCTTTGCGGTTGTTGTGCATCTGTGGTTGTTTTGTGTCTGGTTAGTTTGAGTCTGTTTGTGGTCGTTTTGTGTCTCTTTGTAGTTGCTTGGCTTCAAACAGGAAATTTTCACAGTCACTTCAAACAGCGGGCCGTTCAATAATCTCTTCATCTTGATACATTAATGAGATCATTATATGAAAGCTACATGCTTTACAGAGTGTTTTATACAGCTGTGGTCACAGAAGGACCTTATGTGTAGCAGAGGCAGATGTTACTCACACATTCACTATAGGCTTACCATTCTCTGCGTCTTAGCAGGAGGTCTGCGTATACTGTAGGAGTAGTAGTTGAGCATCGCGTACTCGATCATGGCAGCGAAGACAAACAGGAAGCAGACGGTGACAAACAGGTCCATGGCCGTCACGTAGGACACTCTGGGTAGCGAGTTTCTGGCCACTGTGCTCAGCGTGGTCATGGTCAGCACCGTGGTGATACCTGAGCGGGAAAGAGCAAAACTTTACAAAGAGAATTCTTTGTGACTGCATGATGAATTGCTGGTCAGTACTGGGGTGACCCATGTGGAAGTCAGTGGTTATATAACATGTGGGCAGAAGTTTATTAATCACCATTAATAATGCATATGGGGTATTCTGGGTAAATGTCCCCATTCTTGCATCAGTCTTGTCTACCCATAAACATCCACAGTGATTATTTGTTTTTTAGTGCGGGGCAACAGAATTTTTTTAAATGATCAAATAATTAAAATTACTTTTTTATCTTTACTCTTTCTCGCGGTGATTTAAAATGTGATAAAAAAAATGACGTGTCAGAAATCGATTTGCGGGTTAAGAACCTCTATTATACAGTGGAGTCACATCAGAATTATGAGGCAAATCCTGACACCTCCTCATGACTAAAACATTACTTGTCTCCGAAGTGGCTCAAGTAGTGCAGCCATAATTCAGTAACCACGCGGTAAAAAGCTGGCCCCTGTATTTGTGAATATCTGTGATGGTAATAAATTCAATAAGGTTTTAAAACCTCTGCCACAGTGGGAACTTTCCAGACATTGCATTGATAGACCTGACAAGTTTTGAAATTTTTTTTTTTCAAGGTTTTTATTATAATTTTATTATTTGAACAGCTTTTTTTTCTGGCAGTTTCGTCTGTCTGGTCTCTTGACATTGATCTTATTGTTTTTCCAAACATGTGCGACATAAGACATAAAGACACAAGACTTAATACCGTCCTGACTGACGCGCAGACCGTGGTCATTAATCAGCCTCTGAAGAGGTAGAGCTGTCACGAGTCCACTTGTCTTTTAATGACAGCGATGACTGATGGAAATGAGGCTGTAATTTTTGCATTAGCTCGACCTCTGTGGTGAAAAATCGCGTTGAATTGAAAATGTGTAATAGCCGGTTCGGGAAGTAACTGTCACTCATATGTCAATTGATGATACACTAGTGAGTCAATCACTTTGGGAGGTAACTAATTTTTTTTTCAAATAGTTGTAGAGTTGTTAAAGTGGCTGTTATCAATAATTACCTGTCACACTGGTAAATGAGTATCTGGGATAACTTTTAATTGTGTCATCAGTGCCATTGTTTGAGAAATTACTCCTCATGGTGTCTGAAAGGAGAATATTGTGTACGCTTGGTGAAATGAAATCAATTCTTTCAAACAGAGATGAACCCAGTGACATTAATGCCCACTGGGAGCACGGATATCTACTGCTGCGACACACACACATCATTCTCATAATCTCGCCGTCTTTCCCTCTCATCCTCCCGTCTTCCTCTTCAAGCCACGTCTCACCCTTCCTCTCCCTCTCCGTCCTTTTTCTCTCTTCCTCTCTCTTCTCTGTCTCTTTCATCCTCATCTCCTACATGTCTTTCATGGCAGTGTGTGCCACTGTTTTCGCCTGTGGTTTCCATAGAGACGAGTTGCTCCCATCTATTTCAAGCTACCTCCTCTGGTCTACTGCTTGTCTAGACTTTCTCTTTTCCCCCGCTCATTAGATTTAAGCACCAAACTAGGTAAATGAACAACTCCCCTCTTCTAATACCTTAAATCTAACTATCTGTTCAAGTCTCAGTGCACTGTAAACAGTGTGAGCTCAGTAAAACAGCAAGTGCATCGACATCAGTGCTTTGTCTTTTTATTTATTTATTTTTTTTATAACAAGCTACCCACCGGCTGCTCACAGTTTGGGCTGCTATTTCAAATCAAGGTCATGAGTTTCCTTTGCACAGTTTAATACATTTTGTGGGAATTGTCGCTACATGATACCATAGCAACCGGATGACTCCTGTCTGTGCAGGCAATCTGAACCGCACAGTCTCACATCTGCAGACCGAAAACAGGGGGCATCTCCTGGAGGTGAGAAAAGCTCCAGTGCATATCGCTGTACAAAACGAATATGCTACACACATCCTCTAAATAAGATCACATCACAATAAATCAACAGGACATTGAGAAACACCAGATTTTCTGTTTTTGTGCAATTAAATTTACAAAATTTGATAATAAAAAAACATGGTAGTTGGCATAAAACAGTGTCTCACATCTTCAGACGTTGACCTTTGTTATGTGTCCAGGGGTGAAGCAGGTGGAACAGACCACAGCTTGTATTCATGGAGTGTCTATAAGTAGTACTGAGGAGTACCAGTCAAGGATCAGTAGCTAGGTCACAAGACTGCATGGGCCTCATTATGACTACAGACCTAATCTAAGACCGTTTTAACAGAAAAGCTATGACGTGGACTTTAGGTTTGTCAGTATTAAAAATGCAATTTGGAGCTTCAGTGTTCTAATACAGCAACATCAACAAAGTGTTGTGTTTATGAAGCTGTTTTTGGCAGCTTTAGTCGTCTTTATTGCCACATTATCTCTAATCTGTAGATCTGTTGTGGCCACTGACAACTGATTGATTCATACATCATCAGAGCTGAAATGATTAGTGAATTAATTGACTGTTCACTTGACTCAAAAATTAATCTATAACTATTCTGATGTGTCTGTCTTGATTAGCATTAGCCTGTTGTATTTTTGTTTTTTGTTTCTTTCTGGATGTGGCAAGTCGCACAGGTTGGGAGTGTGCGCCTGCTGGGGATGGGGAAGAAATAACTGAAAAGGAGAAAGAGAGAATAAAAAAAAAAGAAAAGGTGATGGTACAGAAACAGGTGAGGAGACAGGGTCATGTGACCTGGTGGTCTGCCCCTTTATCACTGTATGATAAACAAACAAAAGGAGACACGTCCCATTTCCCCTGAGCTGCGCACCTGTATCACTGGACTATAACACAACAAACAAACCTAACACCTTCCATGTCCCCCTGCGCTGCACATTTACCATGAACCCATTTGGTGTCACTACTGCATCAGTGTGTGTGTTTGTGTTGAATAGCTGGAAGAAAGATTAGCGATCACAACAGCCCTAACAGTGAGTATATATGTTCTGACATGTTAAATTGAAATCATGCAGTTAGAGCGGTTGGAGTGGAATAAAAGGGTGTAGCATTTGCGAAAGTGAAGGCGTTCCTGTTTTGAGCTGTGAAGCACTCCAGCAGATTTTCCACCACATCAACACAAAGTAAAATGCAGTGTACATAGGAGCTGACAGTCTCCTCGGCAAGAGTCGTGTTTGTTTATGGTAATTATACCGATGTTTTCAAATTAACGTGCTAGTGATTGAGGTTAAAATGCTACACATGGCAACTCCAATCTAATCTGATTAAAGGTGTTTCACGCACGCTGCAGAGGAGTCCTCGACTTTAAGCCATGTCTCCTGTGCATGTAATCAATCAGATGGCCCTACATGAGTCCCCAATGACTAAGGAGACAGTTGGGGACTAAACAGCCTGAAGCTAGTCTACTCGTCTCTAACTTCATTCACTCAGCTGTGTATTTCCTGATGGTCAGCTTGATATCTATAAATCGTGCTTTATGTGGCAGCTTCCATCGGCAGAGAACGTCCTCGTATTGATGTTTTGTTCCCAGTATATGAACCTCTTGTTGCTGTGAAACATCAGGACCGTTTGAGTTGGAAGTACTACTATTAGACCCTATCAGGTCTCTCAGAAAGAAACTGCTCTGGGACAAAAACACAGCTGATAATATACTGTAGCTACTAGTTTGTCCCTGTGGTGAACAGAGCACCCGATTTTTAAATTCCCCCACCTCTCACAGCACAGTTTGAGGGACTGATGTCTTTGCACTAGCTCCTATCTTTAACTCACTGCCTTCTTGCTAGGGTTCCCATGAGGAACATTGTCAGCTCTTACACCCAACCTGACACATCAAAGTTGACAAGCGTTTGTGTGAATGACGGCTCTCGCAGGGAAACCTTGGGTTTTTAAATGCTATCCTTTTTTTTTCCCCCCATCACACTCATATCATAAGAAATAAGCTATAAGCTTGTTGCCAGTGCTTGCTGCTATAGCCCGGGCCCAATATTTGAGATGAATATGTCTAACCAAACAGTGTGTTGTTTGGCTTTTGAGGATGTTTCTTTGGTAAACCATGAAAAGCGTCCACAACGAGATCTGTGGGTGATCGAGACTCCTACGCACCTAAGAAAAACAACAGCATCAGCTGCTTCAGTAAATGCCCCAAAACAACAAATGCTTATATTCTAGTGATAAATTCTCTAGAGGTCTTTTTTTTCCATCAGGAGCAAAGGAGGAAATAGTGTGATGTTAAGTGAAACGACTCTCGTTGTTGATGGAGGAAATTTTAATCTAATAGGTGGACATCTCAAAACCCTAGCACACGAAACCAAAAATATCAGCATTGCTAGATTTTGGGAAAATATATATTTTTGCGATTGATAAATTGCCCTTGAAATGAACTTGTGTGGCACCGTGATGTTCTGTATTTCCCTGAATATCACTGTGTAGCATGATGATTGATGTTACCACACAGTTCAATTAACTCCAGAGCCACAGTTCTCGTTTACCCTCTCGAGCTCTACATTCCCAACTTGCGCCTTAGGGTGGGGTGTATTTCTCCATCAACAATCCTCCGTATCTCTGCCAAGATCCATCTGAGTTGCAGAGATTGAGGTCTAATGGGAATCAACCGGAGTTCAGCTCTCTTACTTCCAGCCCACTGCTATCCAAATGTCCTGCTGCTGGAGGAGTAGCAGGTGAGTGACAGCTCTTTGGAAATACCACCTGGAACATGTTAGCAGCTTGTCAAGGCACATAGCCTAGAGGGGTGGGGGGGTGGCGGGGGTGGGCGGCATCACCTGCCTTTTTCTTGGACTTCAACCTCTCTGTGATCTGACTGATCCTCCTCCCTCGTTCTGACATTTCTCCCCGCCGCTACGTGCCAGAGGCCTTCACTTTGCTTTACACTCTTGTTTTGTCCCTCTCTTGTGCCCAGCTTTTCTTCCTCTTATCTCTCCTCTCCCCTTTCAGCCAAGGGATCAGGTCTCAGGCCGACCTGAAAACAGGGCCAATGTACTGGAGAAGAAAGGCTAAATGACTTTCTGTTGTTGAGCTGAATGTGGATGTTTATCAGGACTGGGACAGCTTGCTGCTCTGCTCTACCTGTTGTCTGAGGGAGATCACAAGCCTTTCACCGCCTTTGGTCATGTGTCACACCACCACCCACCTACTGTAAGCTTTGATCGTCTTCGGTTGTTGTCTACACCAGGCAGACGGACAGGTTGACACAGTGATGGAGAGTAGGACAGACAAAACCCACTCTATATGATGAACTAACAGCCGCAGTAGCAAGGTGAAAGCTGGGAGTAACAGCAGCGTCTTTAGCTATGAGACAGTGATCCTTCCTACACTAGCAGTAGTATTTCAGCACATATCTGCCGTTCCTACGAACACGTCATTTCTTAAGCCACTCTGAAAATACACCTTTGTGTTGTTGTCGCTCTTGATCTCATCTGCTTCGTACTGTTTTGATGTTCAACTGTCATCGTGTCAACTTTCATCAGCCTAACAGCAGAAAATAAGTTGAGCAGAACTCAACTGAACTGAAGACGATCTGTTATTATGATCAGCTTTCATTTACAGCTCTAAGAGGAGAGGCTCCATTCGGCCCAGTGCATGCTTGAACAATAATTCTGGCTTGTTATTGAATTTGATACAACATGAGGCAGCGTTATTGTAGTAGAGAAGTTCTTTTTTCTTCTGGCTTTTTCTTGAATGAATAGGGATGGACAAAACTCCAATATAACTTCGTTTATTACCACAGAGGCTTTCCAGATGACCTTGTGTGATGTTGGCTGATTGGCAGGCTGATGAAGGCCACTGAGTGAAATTAGAGTACTTCATAGTTATGTGTGCTGTCTTGATTCAAGTGATAGGTGAAGGTAGTTGGAGGGTGAGTGAGCCAGCTGGGGTTGAGTTCTTGGGTCAATTGAGAAGCTATGAGTTGTGGAGTTTAATTAGAGTCTCAGCTCCTTCAACAAGTATTACGAAAGTGCCAGAGATCAAGGCACTGACCCTCAACCACTCTGGTGGAGCCAGGGTTATTGTCTGAATGTGAAACTATGGGATAGCTGTTATTTGTATTATTTACACTGTTACATTGCAACCAAGTGTACAGTAGGGGAATAAATAAACAACCATTCCCAGACTTATAGTCCTATGTTCAAGACGATGAGATGTGTTGAAGCAGGATGCTGCCAAGTGCACTAAAATAACAGATATATTTGGTGAACAAAGTAGTTATTATACTAAATTAATTGACTTAATTTGATTGTTGCTTTTTAATTAGGCTAGGCTTTCTCAAATTTTAGGTTTCTCCTCAGCTGCCTAACTTAACCATCACACTGTATCAAATAAACAGATTCGACTGAATTAAGTTGCAACAGATATGCAAAATAGATTTAATAATGGTCAAATAGCGCCATGGGAGTCTAGTTTATTGTTGTGGTGGTTATCACAAAATAAAAGTAGCACTCATATGGAGGTTGGGTTGGTTTTGTGCTTCTATAATTCACTAGCAGGTTTTCAAGCTTTTATTTTTATCCATAGTAGCAGCATTTCTCTAGGAACGGCAATGTCACTTGGTGGGTTGGCCCACCACTTTGGATGTATATGTGCTAATTAGCAAATGTTAGCATGCTAACATGCTAAACTAAGATGTTAGATGTGGTAAACATACCTACTAAACATCAGCATGCTAGCGTTGCAGCAGAGCCACTAGCATGGTTGTAGACTCTTACTCATGTTAATGTATGCTTTGCAGCCGTAGCGGAGTCAACTCAGTGATGGACAAGGAAGAATTGTTCAAGAATCATATTACTATTTAAGATGAAATGAATAACATACATATATATATATATATATACTGCATATTGACATTAAGTTGTCAGACACTTACCTTGAAAATCACCTTAAACAGGAAACCATGAGCACCACAACAACATCATCCACAGGAAAGCAAATGAACTAATGGCAGGCATGCAGTGGGGGAGGAAAAATCAAAACAATTGTCAACTTGTGCACAGAAAAATAAGATTAATACTATAATAAATGATGAAAAAAAACAAAAAAAAACAAGCCACATTGATGGGACATATATCTTCAAGATGCCTTAATGCACAGCTAAAGCTACAAGGACACATCCATATTCATCTGAGAATGCACATGCAGATGGATACACAACAACTCTTTCTTCATTTGTTGTCTTTCACTCCACAATAATGTTCAGTGATGTGCAAGTATTCCAGTAATATGATTGCTTTTGCTGGTAATAACTACAGCGACAAAGACTGGGTCATAATATTGCAGTTACTAATCATAAAAGAGATTATTACTTTTGCTATCAAGCTGTCTAAATCTCAGATTGAATGGGAATTACCGAAAGGCTTTAAATCCTGCCACCAACTTCCGATTCATTTTCTTCATATTACACTCACATGGCTTGAATGAGCAGTGGCAAAAAGTTTTATGTATTCCCATCACATCATATTGGACATCAACGCTGTTCACTATTACTGATTATTCCCAGCCCAGAAAGAAATTATATGGAAAGGAGTAAAGCAACACTGAGAAAGTATTGTGACAAATTACCTCTCCCAAGGAAGATTAATTTATACAAGGCACTCTGAAGTTAAGTGGTATTCCCTACAGTTCCCCACACAGCTACATGGGTAGTGCTGTTGTGTACCTAAGGCCGTCCTTGCAGGCGTAGCGTCGCTCTTGATCCAGAAGGAGACCCAGGAGAGGACCACAGTCAGGATGCAGGGGATGTAGGTCTGGATAGTGAAGTAGCCCATCCTTCTGCTAAGATCGAAGTACACTGTCATCAACACGTAGTCACCTGTTGAGAGAGAGAAAATGGAGTCACAAATGAATATGAATAATGAATATTAAAGCCCCTAAATAGTGTCACTTTGAGAACTTCTCTAGCTCCATAGTTCTTTGAACTTTTTTTGTCCAAGGGGCTAAAAGAATATGCACATGCGGTGAGGTTTTATTGACTACATTCTTCCTGTTACAAATTCACGAGTGGATCTGTCTGTTATGAGTGGACACAGTCCTCGGTCAGGGCTGGTGTAATGCTGTTGGTGTTAGCCACAATTTGCAAGGCTCTGTATCCTTTATTGAATAGCAATGATAATTCACTCCAGTGCATCAGTTGTTGTTGTTGTTGTGGTTTATACACAGTACTCGTAACAGTGGTGGTGGTAAGTGGAGTGGCTATGAAAGGATTTCCCCCCTGCAGAATAGGGAACACTGCGTTCTTTTGTTTTATTTTCTCCATTCATATAGCCCCAATAAAAAAACAGCACCTTTCCAGTACATACTTTTAAAAGTTGACCCTTTTCTTGCAGCTAAATTGCTCTTTAAGTCTCTCTATATTGTAAGGTGACCCTGCTATTTTGTAAGTTACACTTCATTTTTTCCCCACTCGTAAACTACAGACCATCGCCCCGAGGATCTGAAGCAGCACACTGGCTCATGAGTAATTTGAGAAGGTCTGGAGGCAGCTGGGAGCTAAATCATGCTGTGCTCTTAACTTGTTCATCAAAATAGAGGCTTAATTTTACTGCGAGACCTTTAAAAGCAGACTCTGCAGACTCTCCATACTCTATCAGAAAGCTGTGACAATCAGCAGATGTGAGTTGATTGTATAACAAGACAAATCTGTGTATTGTGTTTGGGGCTAACAGGATGTAGGAGTAGCATTTGCAAAAACAGCCAGGGGCTAAGGAATGACCCCTGGGGAACACCTCACACACAACCAGGCATTTTCTGTTCTGTTTAACTGAAACCATTTCAGACTGATGCCAGCCCAGTTCATAATCATTAGAAGTGTCTAAAGCTCTGCTTTGCTCTGCTAAGATCTAAGGTCTTTAGTAACTTTAATTAAGACCATTTCTGTGCGGCAAAGAGCCAATAAACTCTACTGAAATTTGTCAAAGTTGTTATTACTGGTCAAAAAAGACATCAGAAAGTGTTCGCTTCCTTCTTTGATAGATTAGAGTTTGGTCTGTAACTGCTAAAATTAAGATAATCTGGATCAAATGTGAGGGCCAACAGACAGAGGGGACGAGAACAGAAATAGGGAGGAAAGAGAGCAGAGGACAGTTACACAGAAAAAACCCTAACAGAGCCCATAAAGTAAAGGAAAATAATTACTCTACAATGGCACTGTGAGTGTGAGGAGAAGAGAAAACGAGGAGAGCGACAGAATTTATTCTGCTGCCTCTTAAATGGTCTGACTGCAGTTGGATGCTTGTTATCACAAGTGTCAGCTGACAGCAGCAGGGATACTGAGCTACAATACTAGGGCAACAAAAGTCGATGGTCTGTAACCTTGACAAAGTTCCATGCTCCATCAGAACAACATTACTTTAAATGTTGCTAAAGACTGCCATATGATAATCTGCTGTCACTCAGATACTTCCATGAAAAGGATGTCGAACTGAATAAAACATCTGTAGACCTTTTGTCCTCCGCTTGCAGCTGAATCTCACCTCACACTCGACATGGAATTGAAATAATTATTTTAATCGCCTGGTGCAATGAATAAAGAGCGTCTTGGTGACTTGGTGACACTGGTTTATGGCATTCACAGTTGTGTGAATGTGTTTCAGTGCAGAACATGTAACAATTATCTGAACAGTCCCTCCAGGTTTTAGCTTTTATGTGATGTCCAGGGTCGTTCTGAGGCATATGTGAGCTAGGCAGTTGCCTTGGGCACCATCAGCTGGATTGGCATCAAAGAGGACTGAGGGGTTATCTTCTGTCTAAATTCAGACACATTTTCTACTTTGCTGTCACAATGACTTCCAATGCAACCATTCAATGTTAAATAAACCCACCACTCGCGCTACTCGCATTATATTCAACACCTGATGCTGAGAGGAACAGGGATGTAGCTTAAAAATCAGGGCCTTGTACATATGATGTCTCAGTGGGCCCCCTTATACAACAGTTCTTGTGCATGTGCATGGACAAAAATAGATTTATATTTATATGATTGAAATTTCACTGGAGTCATGTTACAGTGCAAACTGTGTTCACTTGATGTTAGCTCTCCTCTCAGTGTAAACTTCTGCAATGGTTGTTTGATATATATTTATGGGCTCACGCCATCTCACATCCTCAGTAACATGAGAAGATGGAGGGAACGAAGTACTGCTTAACCATGTAAAGCCTGAGACATGAAATAATTATCAGAAGATTTCATTTCGTTTTCATTTCCTCTCCAGACATGTTTTAAACTATGTTAAAATACTCTGCTATGATTAATATTTTGTTTAACATGGTTTTCCCCAAAGAAAAGTGGGGGGAAAAAAGTCATCAAAAACTGGGTCTGAAGCTCATCTACTCTTAGTTTCCAATTAGTGAAAAGTATTGCTCTGGCCTTGTGCCCCGCCTACCACCTGCCTGCTCCAGGTGGACAGGTGAAAGAGCAGAGAGTGTCAGGATGGTTAGAGGAAGAAACATCAGAGAGACTCAGCCACATGTTTGAGCATCAGTCAGACTCACTCAGATGAGGAGTCTGTTGAGACCAGAATCAGAGACTAGCAGATGGATCAGAGCCGTTCGCGTAGTTAGCGTCTGTTGATGCTGTTTGTTGGCTTGTAACTGGCAGTGGTTGACACAGTGATAGTGGTTGTGCTACTGCTAACTCTCGCTCTCTGTACTAACAAGTTGACAGGATTGGTTCCTTAGTAATATGACATATGAACTCTGGCTGTCATTGGTTCACTACAGTTCCAAGGTGGAAAAAGCGCAGCCATAGCGTCGACTACTGATTTCACTCATCATATGCCTTGCATTATATTATAAACACCATATGGATGTTAACAAGGTTTACGGGTACTTTACAGAAACTCGTGTATCGTGTGTTGCTGGCTAAGTTCTACATACTTTCACTAAACTACTGTAAAATAGGTGCCAATAAGTTATGTCAGTTGAAATGATTCTGTTAACAGCTGTTAGAGCTGCTCCTAGAGGCTCCAATATAGTTTCAAATAAAAGGAGTCATCTTTCAGCAAAATTAATCATTTACTTATGAAGCTGATAATATAAAAATTTAAAATTGCAGATCAAATCAAATCAATTTCTGGATTTTTAAAGCTCCCCTCTCGCCACTACGTCCCTTGAGAGGATTTTGCAAATAGACTAATGAAACTGCTGGTTATTGCTTGTTTTGTGACCTCGCGGTTCACTTACTCATCATACCAATCAGGCATACACGAATATGCATACCCTGCTTAATTTTATAGCCTGTGAGTCCAGTGTGTCTTCAATAGGAGGCTAGCTAATCAAAAGATATAATGACAAATGATCATTTAAACACTTAGTTAAAGGTGAAACTTCCCAAGTGGATCTGCAGGATGTAATCATAGGCATTGGCAATAAAGACAGATGCTTGCACTGGGAATGACAGCTGTAAAATGTGCTGTGTTAAAACGCTGACCACTGTGAGTGGGAGACCTGCAGAGCCACAGAATGTAAAAACAGCAGCCAGCTGTCTCAGGGAAGAGTTAAAGTTAGAATGACACCGGGTTTTCAGAGACATGTTGCAGGTGAACCGCATCTCTCCAGTGATGCTGTTGGTTAAAAAAAAAAAAAAAAAAAAAATCACACATATTTGTTCAGGCTGCCGTTGAAGAGTGTCTGTCTAAATCCTGTCCAGATCCTCTTGCCATAACAGATCAATACCGACATCCCTTCTCAAATACTATAGGGACCTACACCCTAAAGGAAAGCTCCTAGACAGGTTATGTCATCTTACTGCAGAACTATCTAAACTGCTTCACTGATATAATCCAGGCCTATTCTACTATGAGCTAAACGTGCACTATAAATTGTATAATGTCAGAGGGAAAATTTATTTGGAATTAAATGAATTTCGGATGGTGATGTGGCAGTCAGGACATCTTGGAGTGAAAGTCTGATACTGATTATACGGTATCTCCAGTATCTATACAGAAATGAAATGTCATGAGGCAAAGAAACAGATGATCAGGAACCTGGGTAGCGTTATTATCATCCAGGGATATGAAAAACTGTTTTTCTTAACATTTCAGAACATAATTAAAACCAGGATATGACTCATAACAGAGACATTAATGAGCATGTAAAAGTACCACTGCAGAGATTGTGTTGTTGATGACACGACACAACCCGGAAGGTTGAGTGAAGTTGAATAAAGTTGAATTAAAGTAACATATAATTAAATCATTATGATTAAACTAATATAATGATTATAAAAATATCACCAAATGTCCAGTGAGTTTTCACAAATTCTGCGCTGCAATTACCTTCATTTTATGTGTATTTCTCATGTGTTTTTACTGCCCAGTGGTAAAAATGGACTCTTTCAGAAGAATTAGGTGACTGTTAAAGCAAATGTCAGAGTAAAAATGTAGTGACAGGAAGTGAAAAAAAGAAGATAAGATGTCTAGTGCATTTAATCAAAGATTGTCAGTTCTGTAAAAACCCGTAGTTGCCAGTACAAAGAAAGTGAGAGAGACCAAAAAGGGAGTTTTATACCTGTAGCTCATTAAAGAATGATGCATGTAATCCGACCTTGTATTAAAAAGAATTAGGCTACTTTATATTACAAAGACTACTGCAAATGATATGGTTCATTTTCTCCACTCCAATGTAACAACAAATAAAACCTTAATCACAACACAGCAGGAATAATAAAAAAAAATCAATGCATTTTGCTATTTCACCAAAATAAAACTGTCTCATTTTATTTTATGTGCCCATTTATGACCGAGATAAAGCGTGTCTTCCTCTAAAGCGATCCAAAGCTTGTTAGAATTTGAACATAATGCTGGTTAGATTATACCAACAGGGGTAAATAAAAGAACAATTCATTGTTGCCTGAATTATTCTCCACTTCCTCCCTCTCAGTACAACACTGCACAGTTGTAGAAGCAGGCCAAGAACTGCTGACACAAAGTTAAATTTGATAGTTTAATGCACGTAAGATGAGCTTCATTTTGCAGTTACTCTTGTAAATGTTGCAGGCTAATATTGTTAAAGTTATAATAATGATTGACTGGAGGCTGCAGAAATGTACTTTCACAAATCTATAGCTGCATCGTGGTGACGTCTGTGCTCTAACTGGTCGTTGGAGCAAACAATTCCCCCATTTACATTCTGTTGGACAGTAACAACCCCACTGTCTACACACTACTGCACAATATTTATTAGTCCGAGTTGCCTGCTCTACACTTGTCCACACTCTGTCATGCTGTACAGTCAGGTCTACTTTCTCTTTAGATCTGCAGGGAAAACTTTTCATTAATGAGCTCAAGACAATTCGGCTGAATTCATTGTGTTGTTTTTTTTTTTCTTTCTTTTTTACAACCTTTATTCAGGAAGTTTTGCTCAAAGAAATTCGGTATAAGTTTTTCATGCTCGTACTTGGAAGCTCACCAGTACTGACTGAGGCTAAAGCTAACGTATCCCTGGCAAAATGTAAGCATCATCAGCAGTTGAGTACAAGACATGGAAATAAAGAAACGACATAGTATGTTTTGTTATTGCAGTGTAGAGCGAGTTAGTCCTGGTATTATAAGGAAAAATAAGATTCACGATTGACTGATGTGTTTGGTAAATATAACGATTTCTCGGAAGAAGCCATGAAAGAAATGCTAACATTAGTGTAAACTCTGACTCCAGGATCTGCTTCCGCACAGTTGAGAAACACTACACAGTGGATATGTCAGTCCTTGGAGAAGCCTGTTTTTTCTTAAGTAACCTGTTATACCACAACCACATCTTTGTAAGTTAATGATGTGCTCCTTGGCTCCTTGGTAACGCCACTGTGTGCATTAAGCTAATTAGCATGACAAGCTCTGATTGCAGCTCATGGTACAGCAGATAAACACACAGTTTAATCAATACGTTACACTTTTGCTCTTGTGTTATTGATTTGTAAAAGACTAAAAACTGCTGTTCCTAGTTATGATTGCTAAGCTCTGTCTGGAGTCGCAGTTCAAGAGAGGGGTTCGGTGAATGGTAAATTCTTTTAATGTCTGCATGCCTGTTCATGTCTCTTCCATGTGCCGTCAAACTTCCATTATAGTTTCATGATTGCCAGCTGAGATTTTAAAGTGATCTGTGGTCAGCTGCAGGTTTAGTCAGCGCAGGCAACGACGTATGAAGGAACTCATACTTCAAATAGAGAAAGAAACGATCAGAGAACAAGGCATAGGATTGTCAGCAATTTCATGACACATTCTTTACCAAAAGGCATTTTGAATATTTCCAGGGTGGTCATGTAAAGATAGAAAAGGAAGAACATCAGCATTTCTGCAATGTAACCACAGAAAAGGGCATAATGGAGGCTTTTGGGGAATTTACCATGAGATCATAGAACAAAGCACCGAAGTGTTTGGGATTCCACATTGGGGCCTTTTGAAGAGGACGCTGCTGAATTGATAACGATGGTGGATTTGTAGCAAGGGTCCCCAGTGGCGCTGTGGCCGGGGATCTGTCCACTCTGTCCTCATTAAAACAGCCCCATACCTCAAGTGTTTATTAGGGATGAAGGATAAAGCGGGGAAAGGGAGAGTGATGGAGAGGGAAATGAGAGAGAGAGAGAGAAAGGAAGAGAAACGCAGTACTTTCGAAGTTTGTCATGACGTAAATTAATGATATGGTATTTTTAGCTGGGGATCTAATCATCATGCTTGTGGAGATAGAGCCCCGGCAAGTGAAACAGGAAAAAGAAACGAGGTAATAAATGAGAAAACGGCTAATTTTCTTGAACAGCATGAGGTAGATGTGTAGGTTTGCCGTTGCTTTTGAGCATCTCAGCAGAAAATTAGTTTGGCTGTGTTTTGACAATGCAGCGGGAGTCCAGGAAAACATATAATTTATAAGGCCATCAATGTGTCTTGGGATGAGAGCGCTCATCAATCACCTTTTTTTTATTTATTTTTTTTTGTGATCAGAAACACAAATATACGACGGCAGTTTGTCATTAGATACAATCTCGATGCTTGTCACTATTCCCAGTGGCTGATAGTAACACAAACAAAGAAATGTTGTTTCCTGAATTTGTTAATGTCTCCAGTTAAAAAGATATTTGATTTAGCTGTGTCATATAGTGGGACATTTTACAAAACAAAATGAAGCTGTACTTTCCACTGAGCTCCTTAATAATTTGATGCCGCTCCCTGTTATCCTTTTCCTAATCATGCCAAGTAGTCTTGTTCCTCGAATATTCATGAACAGAGGTTCAGCTCTTAGAAAGCTGAATCAGGACACATTATGCAGATCCAAGCATGTCTCTCCAAAGACAAAAGACCGTATGGCACAAACCAGATGGAATATATGCAACACTTATAAACAAGGTTAAGAGGGGTTAACAACCACCACATCACGCTCCTTCTCCCTCATTTATAATGTTTCACTTATGAAGTCATTAGAATCTGTTTTTATCTGCAGGTTCACGTGACAACATTAAAAATGTATTAGGAACTTGTCCACGCTGTGCCAGTTACAGGTATAATTACTGGCACCTGTTGGAGAAACAGTATTCCTCCAGGTGCCACTGCCTCCAAAACAACAAACTTAAATTAAATCATCAAAGAACACAAAGCCTAATAACCGCACTGAAAGCATGGGAAGAGAGAAGGAAAAGGATTGAATAATTAAACTTCCTTTTTAATCTTTAATCTTGGTGATTAATGTCAGTGGAAAAACCTATTTGCCCTTACACCCGAGGGGAATACTTATGAGCTTTGAGCTTGTAGTTATGTGATTACATTTATGGGCATGGTGCTAATGTTAACCTGTGCAAAGCTCGGGGCACCAAGGTAGTGAAGCGGCTCGAAAAGCTGAACAGTTCTAGAGCAAGACTCTGAACTCCTGCCAGCGCTGGCTGTTAGTCTGCAGCCAAACCCAACCTTTGACCACCCTGTAGAGTAGGATAGAAGTGAGAAAAAAAACAGTTTCTCTGCAGGGATCAATAAAGTTTTATATCATTATTATCCAAACCGCTGTGAAATGCAACCATTCAGCATGTTATTTTTGTCTCAAGTGCCAGTGTTCTTGACCTTTTCTCAGCCTTTTGTTGCTGCCTTTCTTACCTGCTGTCGTCGAGAGCACATCTGTGGTGTTTCTGAGCCCCATGAAATCAAACTGGTAAAGCCTCCAGTATTTCTGGTCTGAAGTTTCCACTGAGTTTCGCCTCCACTTGTACACAATCTCGTCCCGCGGGTAGCCGTCTGGAAACCACACAGAAAGTGAGTTAGGTGTGTGAAAGAAGGAGGGACTGCGAAAGAAAAAGGAGATAAAAGTTGAAGGCAAAGAATACAGGAAAGATTAATGCAGCAATGCAGTTTTTATTGTATGCATGATTTATACCTGATTTATGCATGATTTATACAAATTTATACAGCAAGTTTTCATAGGCAATTCAGTGGACTGCAGACCAACTGAGCAATTACTGTTAACTTGTTTGCTTGGAATCTGCTGTGGTGCACCCAGAGCGAACAAATATCCAGTCTAACATGTAATCCAGTGCAGTGTTTATCTTGATTTCAGTGGAATAATTTCAAGTACAAGTCAATTGGCGTCAGGAATGCTCTTGAATCAATTGCTATTTTAATGATAAAAACTGTGCAGTTTGATTTACTGCACGATATGATCGTGGGGGGTGGGGGTGGGGGGGGTAGGCACAGCTACTTAAAGAAATGGCTTGACTTCTTTTATTTTTTTTTTAGAGATGAATAGTTCTTGAAGTGTAAGATTGTAGGCTTTGCACCTGCCATACATCTGTGACGAGCCTACTGTTACGCCTTACTGACACGTGAAAGTACTTTTACGTGGAGGAGCGCAGTAGTGGAATGACCTGGTCCGGTTTAAAGCTGGAAACATTTTGTAGTGTACTGATCATTAAATGCAGGATTTCATGTGCAGACCCCTTTGCTGGGTGGAGCAGTTAAACACAAGCGAAAAAGCACGTAAGAAGTTGAATCTCTACGGAAGCTATTACTCTAAATACTGTGTCTCTATGTAAAAAATAAAGCTGAGCTCTTTTGACAAGTTGAAGCAATTTTGCATAGAAAAATGAGTGACAGCAATAATGAGCAGGTGGCAAGCCTGGTTGTGCCCTGTAGTGGAAACCAGACAAATTATGCAAATGGTCTCATTTAGAGGATAGCCATCTTCAACCAAGAGGAGCAATCACCATGATGCAAGAGAGGTGTGATTTTTTTTCAAAGTCTAATATAGATGCCAAACATTATATTGCCATCATATTTCCCTTGTTGTGTTTCTACAATTATCTTTACTGCAAACAGTATTACCATTGTGTTACCAGTGTATCTTCATGGCTGGAAAATGTTTGTCATATTTCAGGCCTTTAAAAGCCCCCTGAAGTCACATGTTCTTAGCCAGTGTTATAAATTACAGTCTGCCGTGGCCTTGGCTCTAATATTCTCCCTGTCTAGCCTCCAAGCAAAGAAGACAAGGGTGGTCCGATTTTGCCATATTACTGTAAACAAGTCCAGTTGAGGATATCTGCCAGTGAAATGGGTTTTAAAGTCAAATTGAAATATTAATTCCTCTTGCTCTTTACACAGAAAGATAGACTTCAATAATACTGCAGCTAATGGGCAAATCTTTCATACTACCAACACTGATATAGTTATTCCTCCCTTTTTCAACAAGCTGATAGAGGTTATTTACCCTTATCTAACATCCCTATACATTTTTCAATAATTAGGGCAGGGGATCCATTCTGCTGTTAAGTTTGTCTTCCACTTAAATAATGGGAACTGGCGAGCTAGGCTATCTGTGCTGGAGGACCCACTGTGCTGTTAAGTTTTGGAAAAAGGAAGCTAACAATCTCAGCTGCTGAGTCATTGACAGCTCTCACACACTCAGTATTTGTCCCACTTTGTAGTATGGAAGGGCCGGAGGTGGCATTAGCTGTCTCTCCTCATGGGGCTGTTTGCGGGGATGGCATAGGACAAGACTGTCAGAATTCACAGCAACAAGTAAATCCTGGAACGCACGTCTGGCGCGCTCATACCACAGATACTTCAGCTATCAACATCAGCCCTCCAGCTCACTAATTACCTGTGTGGAAGAACTGAACTGATATGAACTATTTTTATTGTTCGTCCACAAAGACAGTGCACCAGTCAAATTACAGTACCACCAGTGCCCCTGGCACTAATGTAGAGTGTACCACATCTGCGTAATTAGGATTTGAATAGCTTCATGTGATTTTCCAAACTCTGTAAAGCTCACATTATTGTCTTAAAAGTGGAAGCCATGATTATCTACCTACATGTGAGTGTATGAAGATCTCCCACTTGTCTGAACACACAGCACTGTGTGCTTGGTAAAGGTAACTTGTCATAAAGTTAGAGGAAAGAAAACAGCCGACTGTATGCACATTTTTTCCACTTATTGCAGAGCAGTGATTCTTTTCACTTGTACAAAAGGTCAGTAACAGTTTATTTCCAATGTCAGCTCCTTTGGGAGTGTGAACTGTAAACATTCAGTATTATTTCCCTTGGTCTTTATACTGACACTCAAAAGGTCCATTTTAAATGAGCTTTTCAAAATGAAAAACACAAACTCAAAGCAACGACTTTAGATGACTGACCATTCAAGAAGCCCTCCTGGGGGGGGGGTTCAAGTAATGTAACAAGCTCTGTGGTGGTCATGATGGACGTCCTCAGTTCTTTTGGGCAGAATAAGAACTGCTGATTACATCCTTAAATGTATGACTTGCCTGTTTGAACTGCACTGAGATGTGGTTTATTCTGCTTTTTCGTTTTACTTTTTTAACTCGGGAGTGATCACTTTGCACCTAGTTTAACTGAATCATTTAGTATTTAAATAGTAGGTAGCAAATAATAGTATGTTTTAGCCCATACATCAACTACAGATGCACATGTTGAGAGCAAATTTCCCCAAGGAATGAGAACAGACTAAATGTATTTTCTTGTATTAAATAATTGCCTTCTCTTGTGTGGTTGGACCAGACTGAAAAATCTCAACAACTATATTGTGTTGCCATGAAATTTTATGCAGACATTCATGATTCTCAGAGGATGAATCTGACTTTTTCTCTAGTGCACCATGACGTTCACATTTATTGTTTTGAGTGAAACCTATTGACAACCATTGGATGGATTTGGTGCAGGCGTTCACGGTTCGCTCAGAATGAATGGTTACAATCGTGGTGATCCCCTGACTTTGTCCAATACTTTGGTCTATGACCAAATGCCTGCAAGACTAATGACATTCCCATCAGCTTCAGTTGGTGGTGTTGGCATTTAGCTCAAAGCGCCTCTGTGCATACAGCCTTACCAAGCCTGGCTGTAGAGTTTTAGCCTTGTTGTAATATACAGCATAGATTTGACAGCATCAAATTAGACTGAAATAAACTGAGGAACTGTTTTCATCCTGTGGCTGTCAGTGGATTGACACAAAGAAAAAGTAAAATGTAAAGAAAATATCTAAGTGCCTCCTCACCCTTATCATAGCCAACATTTGAATGGTATGTGCTGCAACAGTGTAAAAATCTATATAGTAATATAGCAACACAGAGGGTGTTCATCAATAAGTGATTGAAGCGCTGCCTGTGGTGTGGACAACAGTACAAAGTGCTTGTGATCATAGTTAAAGCTTTTCATGGCTTTCATGCTGAGCTCCCCAGTAGTCACAAAAGTTTTCTCCAACGTATTATACAGTAGGTGTACATTTATTTGTTGAAGCTCCTGTGAAACACGGACCGTGCCATGAATTCAGTACATGTTTGCAAGATGTCAGATTGCTTGTGATTTTATTCTTAGATTTAATTTAATTTAATTTAATGTTAGGTATATAGGAGGGAAGGATATAAAGGCAGTGAGTAGTCAGAACTGATAAGAGAGATGAGCGAGAGTGATGATGCATTCACCATGTTTATAATGTTGCATCTCAATAAATGAAACCGATTAAAGCCATAATGGGACGACTTCTAATTTGCTTCATGATGAAGAGACACAACATTTCAAAAGCCTTGCGCATGAGGCTTCTACAATATCATAATACATTAACAGCCATGCTCCTTGAGTAGTTACAGAAAGATTGCAGTGGATGTTACAGCGGGTAAGAAAGGATTATGTGTTTGACAGTGGAGAAAAGTGAGGGCCAATTGCGGCTTCACTATCAGATCTCACCCTGGTGTACAGTGACTGAGAGACGCTATAAGTCACCTCTGGTCTGCTTCTCTCTCCTCCTCTACAGCAGATCTTCATCTTGCAAACCATCTGCCACGAAATGTGTAACTTGCAGGGTGGCAACATGTTAATGCAAAACAGACGGAGATGATCTGAATCCAAACACTTGCTCACTTAGTTTAAATGCTTTCCTTTGGCACCTAAAAGCATCTCATGTTTTTGTTGTAATATGAAGACTGATGGAAATGGTTTCTTTCAAACTTCTAAATGGATGCGTGACTTATTGGAGTTGTAGGGAAATCTGGAAATCAGGTGTGGATATCTGTGCTGCTGTCTCCAATAAGACAATAAAACTCTGGACATTTTAAAACACATAGACCAGATGTTATGAAAGTTATCAAGATGACTCTGTTCCACTCTTAGAGGTAATTAACCCTCTTAAGCTTTGGCTTGCTTTTAGTAATATCTCCTTATCTAATACCCATTGTCCCTTAATTATTGAGAAATCTCGCACTCATCAGAAAATCCTGAATAAAGCACAGTTACATGAGTTTTAATTGGAGGGATTCAAATGTAAAACTCTCACCATGAAATGATGCAGTGATTTTTATCAAAACATGTTTGAGTAATAATGATTAGCTATCAGCATGTCGGGGAAATAGCAGTTCTAAATTGATGCGCCAGATGGTTTGTTACACAGACCCATCTGGGAAGGCTTCGCTGGAAGATGTTTGGAAAAGGTCAGGTGCTTTGCAAAAAACTAGAATTACCGCCTCGTGGTTGTATCCCTCCGTCAACCAGTCAAATTGCAGGACATATGGTCATAATGTCCCACGGTCCCTTTGCCTGAGGAACAGAATTGAATAACGGCTAGGAGTGTTCTCTCCTCATTTTGTCCTATTAGACATTTGTGTTAAATTGGGTCATAATTAGCCTATGAATTCGCAAGTTATGGCCAAAAACGTGTTTTGTGAGATCACGGTGACCTTTGACCTGCCAGTAGTTCCTCCCTGATAGGATGCTGATTGGTCCGAACCACTGTGATTGGAGCCTGGCAAAAAATGGATTCTGACTTGCAAGAAAAGGATCTTCGCGAGGTTAGCAGTGTTCAGCTTCAAATATAAAACTTCACGGCTTTAATTCAGTGCTATTGAAGACACAAGTTGCTCATTCATTTCAACTACAGACAGAAAAAATGTCCATCCACATGGTCATGCACTGAGACGGTGGGGGGGTGAGTGAGGGGTGGGGGGTTATTACCGCAAATCCTTTCACTGAGAGCAGAGACATAATGGAAGCCCATTTGTGGTCAATAGCTCTTTCACTACCGACAGTACTGTAACATCCGGTCTCATCACACTGTGAGCAAATTGTATATAAGCTCGAAAATAGTCAATTGAGAGTAGCTTTAATAATGGCCAGTGACAAATACTGCCATCCGCAGTCGCATCAGGTAATGATTATTACCAAAATTAAATCATGTCTAGCAGTGGAAGATGTCTGGTCCAATAGAATAACCCGTCATATAAAATCAGAAGTGATTTTGGTGCTTATTATGTGGTGGGTAAGATAATAAGGCACCGTTGAACCAAAGGAACAGTGGGAACATTTTGGGAAATATGTCTATCTGGTAGATATATGATTAGCCTAGCTTAGCATAAAGACTAACAGCTAGCTTTGCTCCAATGAAAATATTAAACAGAATTACATCATTGCAATTTTTCAACTCATAAGGACTTAAATAGTCTTTTGTTTTTTTTTTTCTTAAATTTTGCCAGTTTAGGGCTTTGATTTGAGAGAGTGAGTGAAATTAAGAAGGCACAAGAACAATTCATGAATCTAAAAAGTGCAACTCTTGAAACAGTGAAAATAAACCGTTTGTGTGGCTATAAATAGTGGGATAACTCTGAACAAAGCCAGGTATAGTAGGGGAAGTAGTTCTGAGCTTTTAGTCCATTAACTGTACCGAGCCTTAAGATACATGTACCTGCATTTCAGTGACTGCAGCCTGTTGAGTCACATTATTGCCTCAAAATAACTATAAGCATTTAGCTCATACTCACCGCCTTTATATCCTTCCCTCCTATATACCTATACCTAACAACATATTATATTCTCTGCCCTATCATTAGAGACAGTAGTTGCTCTTCTGATACTGCTGATTCGTCATCTTAATACAATGAGCCATTGAATGGCAGATCTACCATCTGCACCTGGAAAAATACCTGGAAAAAAAATCAGGCGCTATAGACTTATTTACGAATAACATTAAAATAAACCTTTTACATTAAATTAAATCTAAGAGTAAAACAACAATTGATTGTTTGGCTGAAAAGGTCTTAAAATAATGCTGAGAATCCTTATGTAAATTATTTCCAGTATAAAAATCTGATTGAAAATCTTTTAAAATCAACATTTAAATTAGTCCAAAAAAACCTCAATAATTTCAGAATAAGATGTCTGTGTTTTGTTTTCTAAACCTATACACCCAAGTTGTGTTTGTCCTTATTTTCTAAAGGACCACAGCAAAGTTTTGCACTGATAAATTGGAAGATAAGCAGCACCTCTGAAAACTGTTTGGTCTCATACAATATGTATGTTAAGGCGTTCCTGTCTAGAGGAATAAAATATGGGAAATAGCTGCAGAGCCTGATTTACAACCGCAGACAAAATTGCGTCTGAAATTTAACGCCTGGGAAAAGCAGGTGTAAATCTGCGGCGCTGTTTTATCAGACACTTACAGAGGGTGAGAGACTGCAGAGCAGACTACTGCGAGAGAGAGAGAGACATCCAAATTAAAAGACACATTGCTTTAGCAGAGCTCTCAGTTCAGCACCACAGCACAAGAGCAGCAGTGTTATTCTTCACACGACTTTACCTGCCTATTTTCTCTGACTTTTAATGGCTCACAGCAGCTCCAGTCCAGTGCAACATGACTGCAGCAGCCAATAATGTTGAAAGGTTTCCCCAAAAATCTCTCAACCACTGGTCTTTTTGTTGAGCTAGTATTTCCTCACATAAAGCTTTCCTCTTGCAAGATGAATACACACTTCTAGCTGCAGAAGTGTCATAAAACACATGAAAATAAACTGCTAATATAAAAATAATGCGGTGACACAACACTGTGCACCCCTCATAGTAATTTGCAACAGGCTTAGCAAATATCCTCCTATGCTGTATATACAGGCTATCCCCAATCCTCCCTAATCAATTATTCCCATTGAAGCGAGGACACCCCCGTTTAAGGTCGTCTCAACACCTTCTCTGCATCTTCCAGGTGGGTTGCCGGCTAGGGGGGGAGGGGGGTTCATGCTGCTCAGGTGGAACAGTTCAGTGTCGGTACTTGTTGTTTGGCTTGAAGTCGTGTTTTCATTTCCACCCACTCAGACCACCTCAACAGTTTTCATGACTTTATCTCCTCCCTGCTGGGATTTTTTTGTATCTTTAAATGTCATCTTAAAACTTTTTTTTTCTTCAATTTTTCTGTCTACCTTTGCTTTAAAAGTTTTCACTTTGGCAGGTGTGACATGTATAGGCATTGCTATCCGGGAAACATGGCCATATTTGTCTGTGGGCGTGCATAAGTTAGCGTGTGTGTGTGTGTGTGTGTGTGTGTGTGTGTGTGTGTGTTCATTGCCAATATTCACAGCTGGAGAAGACGAGAGGACAGGAGTGTTCGTCCATTGGGAAATTATGTAGTTGCAGCTGGCATTCTGCGTTGATGGTCATCCTGCAGAGAGACGGAGAGACGCACAGACAGAAATACTCAGACACTGACATTGAAGGCACTAAAAATACTTCAAATCCTTTTATTATCCAGTGTATGAAGCACATGGTGTGAACTCATGGTATTCATCATTGCTTATATCATGTAATGCACTTTTTGCACTACAATATATGAAGACTGGCTTCGGACCAGATGGTGCGGGATCACACTCGGTTGTCTGGTTGATTTGTGAAATCCCTCAAAATGACAGTGTTTAATTATCAGCATCGGACATTGTTTTTTTTTTTTTTTTTTTGCGATGATGGTATTAACTTATAGGTCAAGGCCTAAAGGCATGTACGCTTCTAAAAACAGGAGTACTTAGCCATGATCACTGGACAAGTCAGTACAACAGATGTTTGGAAAAGCAACAGTGATCACAAAGAACCAGGGGATTAGTTTTACATGCAGAATATAAACCTGCGGTATAATCTGACGCGGTATATATTTTCAGAGTGCTGCTTCAATATATCATCCTCAAATTTATTTTTACTGGATGTGGAAATGGCTGTCAAAATGAGACCATCATACAAAAATGGGCTTTTTCTCTCAGTTGTTGTGTCTTTGTCTCCGGTACAATTTCTCATTAAGTGGCGGACCTCTATTACAAAAGCAGAGCCTCGATCAAGGCAGGGAGAGTGCTGCCTCACTCATGTTGCTTGTAGGTGAACAAAGTGCAGATGATGTACAGTTTTAATTTGCATACAGATGCTCGCTTCCGTCTTTGTCAGCGTCCAGGATTTCCAAATCTTGGCAAGAGTGAGGAGCTGAGGCGAGGAGAGCAAGCGGCAGCAAACACAGCAGACGTGTGAGAGATGTGTCAGTCAACGCAAATACGCCTCCAAACATGCGCCTCGTCAGGACTTAATATCCTTTTAATGAAACAATAATTTTCAGATTCATCACCAAGACACGCTTTAGCGGAAGTGAAATTAGCTATTAAATCCCAAACATTTTAAGGAAAGTTTGTGGTTGTGAGGAGGATATTTTCTTTTTCTGTTGTATCTGGAATTTGTGTCTTTCGAGGAGCCACCGTGTAGTGGATTTTTTGAAGTCCCTTCCCTGTTAGCGTCCACACACAGCTGTGTTGGGTGTACTCAGTTGTAACAAAAGAAAATTGCTGGGAAAATGGTTTTTGTCATGGTTGCAAAGGTCTGCGACTACAGGTGTAAGTTCAACACCTTTGCTGGATCAAACTGCAGTCATGAACAGAATACATATCCACTGTTATACATTTTTGTCACAATATTGAGCAATAATTTAAGCATATCTACACCATATTCAAATTCAACAAGCAAGAATCTGATTGTTTGGTGGAGAGATAAAAGCATAACACTGACATATTATCACCTTATGAAGCTGTTACAGTGAAACTGTTAGCATACAGTTGCGTATTTAGACATTCAGCAGACATGGAGCAACATTAGCATGCATATGGAAATGTGTTTCTGAAAACCCGACTGCTGCAAGTCCAACATAAATATCCTTTTACTTTTGTTTCCAACTAACTTTACCAGCTGGCTATCTAGCAAGGTTTGTCTACCATTAAATGTTGGCAGTTAGCATACAGTGACTTTATTTATGCTCTTTTATGCTCTATGTACAGCTGATGGGGAACTACAGAGTTAGGCGCTAATTCACTGTGGGTTTGTCACTATGAGCACCTCCTATCACATTACTCATTATCATTAGGTCCATCGTTAATATAAAAATATTGATTAGTGCAGCTTTAAACCTGCTGGTGCTTTAGAGCAGAGTGTTTGAGTTATGAACCACTGAACCTCTGGTGCTATAAAAGAATATCTATGGCTCAGTTCAGAAGCTCATGATCACAGTGTTATTAACCTCTACAACACCCCAAAGCATTCCTCTACAATTATGAGTTAGTTAGATTTTAGGCAATTAGAACCATTTTATTGATTATATATAGCTTTTCTTTCTCTTTCCATAAATTTAGAAATAGAAGCTGGCTGTCTGAAAAGCCCCATCGCTTTCTGCTGAATATTTGCAGGTCAAATACAATGACTGCTCAGAGAACTACCTTACATTTTAGACACACCTGTCATTTTAGCACACTTTTATTGGATTTATTCACCTGTTCGTGACAAGATCTCAGCTATCCCAATGCAGCAGGAGCTGTGTATCTGGTCCTCCAAGGGGGCTGAAAACAAACACTCATGGTGATATTTGCTATTTGGTCAAGGTCTAGTTTGAGATCTTGGACGCGCAGGTGAAATTGGATCCTCAAGACAGAAAAAGCTCATGTCAGAGCTTGAGGGTTCATAAACCCAGATGCCACTCAAATTAAAAAAGAACCTGTCCACTTGAATCCTGGGAGTTATTTTTCTTTTTTTTAATCTTTTCACAGTCACGGCGAGGGCCATGCACATACACACTACAGCCCCCGACCAAACACCCAGTGTCCTGTGTGTCATTTCTCTGCCACAGAGATGCTGTCAGGAAGAAGAAAATAAAGTGAGCAGAAACGCATGACATTTTGACATGTCACGACAACACAAAAAAGTTTTATCCTTCTGTGCTAAAAGTAAAGCTAGGCTTCGGGGCAAAAACTAAGATGTTCAAATTTTAATACTTTAATACTATTTGTTTGTAGTTATATACAAGAAAAAAATAATCAGAGGCCAAAATCTTTATATATGCTATGTTGCCGTCCAAAACAACCTGTGACAGATTATTTTTAAGAGTGCCCCTGTCAGCAGGATGACATTGTGTGTGTATTCTTTCCAAAATGCTGGTGATTTATATGACTGGTTTCTGATCTGCCATCACTCCGCTTAAGGTTAGTCAGGGTACATTTAAGGACCGGGTTAAGAAAGGTAAAGAAATCAAAGTTGACAATTGGTAGGAAGCGCAAAGAGGAACAGTGGTCTCTTGTGTCAAACAACCTTGCTGGACAGGAGGAGGGCTGAACCTGATTTGCATATAGCCCAGGAAACCCAAGTTGGTTAGTGATTTAGATCTGTGATCTGGCGAAAGTGTCTTAAACTGTATCTAGATTTATTTAGCCTACCAGCATTGGTATAACAATGGCAAAATAATAGAAACACCTGTCAGAAAAAGACAACGTATAGTATCTCAAACTTGATGACCATAAAGTTGAATCAACACCTCTCTGAAACAGTTTTCAGCAAAAACTTTACATTATAACCTTGATGAAGGTTTGATTTACTGTTGTATTAGAATGCATTAGTTTTAGTTAGGGGCTCCTAATCAACTGGCAACTGAGAGTATTTGCTGATGCTTGTTGACGCCGACTGCTTGAGCTTGAATTCATCTGTGAAACCCACCAATTATCGCCATGTTTTTACCTCAGCGTGTAGAGTATTTTTCCGTTGTTCCAGATCCGGAGCAGCTGATTGGGTGTTGTTATCCAGTGAGAGTCGGCAGTCTTGGAATTCCTAAAGATGGTGTCGGGCAGCCAGATCAAGCCGACCATATTGCTGGTTGAATTAGAGACAGACAAAAAATATACAGAGTGAGAGGGGGCAGAAGTTAAGAGATGAGTGCTGTCAAATTCATCGGAATCTCTGAAAAGCATGAAGCAGCTCCACGTCCCAATAAGAGGATAATAAAATACCAGGGCAACAAAGCACATCAATCAATTTGTTCCATTAATTGCAGGCCTTTTCCCGAGAGAGAGAGAAGAACGTCGTTCTCGAAGGAGATATTCATTGTATGAAAATGTTGCAACACAATAGGTGCAACAGTGGAAAGAAAGACACTCACAGCAGTTAAAGAAAAAAAAAAATTTAAATAGAAAATGCTGAAATGATCAATGAATAGGTATCAATGCTGCAGCCGCAAAGCTGACATACTTGGGAATCTGAAATAAAGCTGTCAGTGTATTTGTATTGTATGCTCAGTAAGTCCAGTTTACCTGTTGAGGGTTAGAATCCGCATGCTGCTGCTGTTATACCGCAGACGGGTGTCCACCCAGGTCTGGGCGAAGATAATATCGATCTGGTACTCCTGGGGAGAGAAAAGTAGAGTCAATATAATGATCTGACAACCCCTTTTAGAGTAGTATAGAGACAGAAAAGAGCTGGAGTTCTGTGTGCTTACAGTCTCAGTCTCGTTCTTCTGGAGGAGCTGATAATGTGTTTGTTTGAACATAAATGTGTCCACATCAAAGAAAATACTAAAACAGCACAGGACTGGCTGGAAACACTCAAATACACATTGTGCTTTTGATATGGAAATTAAATTACACCATCTCACAAACTGTTTACTTCGGCATATTTTTTTATCACCTCGGCAATGACCCCTCTTCTAATTGTGAGAAGTCGTAGCATGAGGACATTGAAATAGAATTTTCTTACTTCGCTGTAAAATAAGTCAAAGTCATGCTGGTATTGTTACAAGAACTCCGAGTCTAGTGGCGAACAACTTTTCAACACACAATAACTTAAATCCTTGAGAAAAAAAGGATTTGAATGCACTTTGTTTCCCCACAGTGTCAAAGTTGAGTACATTTTCTTAATCCAGCATGCTCTAGTTAGATCGGTGAAAATACACTTAAAGTAATGAGAAAAAGGGTTTTTTTCATTGTTGTGCAGAAGAGGCTTTGTTCGCTCTGAGGTTAATCGGGTTATACAGCAGTTGCTGCTTTGATCAGAAGCCAAAATCCAATGAGCATTTTAGTGCATGATGTGACAAGTTACTAATGTAACCACCCAACTCAGAGGCTTTGGTTTTAGCACAAAATATCAAATCAACCTCGACTGGAGTCTCCACATTCCTCTAGAGAACTTGCATCCAAAGAAAACTGGCTAAATATAACCGAGCAAAATATAGCTGACAAAGAGTGTCATTCATTGATCTTCACCGTCTTTGACTCTTTAATTAATAGCATTTATCTTGAATTGGGAAAGATGTGGGCAGCCTGGTACACAACCGTCCTTGCTCACACATTCAGATTTTAACATTTAATTGTTTCTTCATTAGTAAAGTGAAGTATAATGGTTGCAGTTGCACTCCAAATCTTCTCCTGAACCTCCAGATTACTGCTCCGCCATTGAGCGCAAAGTAATAGATTGTTCTGACAACACTGTCCCAATTAGCTGCCACGGCACAGGAGACATTTTTATCACTGTCACTGCTCACTCCAAATATTTTTAGAAAATACCAGCAAGCTAACAAACTAACGAAATGATTTGGCAAAGCAAATGAAGTAAAGCCTACAACCTATTTCAGACATTCGAATTGAGTCAGCTGCTGTACTCTCATGACATCATGAGCACTGGACATATGTTTCAATGAGCCTCTGCTGACTCTTTGCTCCTTCTCCTGCCAAGAGAAGTGAGAAAAATACAGGATACCATTTATTATTTAGAGATAAAGATAACTGAAGACAAACTAGTTTGAATAGTGAATACTGTACGATCAGTCAGAACCAGGCTGGAGATTAAGCACATTTTAATACCCTACAAACAGCTATTCACACCTTTTTCATCGCTCTGAAGGTGAGGACCTCCAGCATGGCGAGCAGAAGGTCAGAACATCAGCTGGAAGTCCCCTATAGGGTGACAAACAAGGTGGACTCATACTTCAATGAGAAGGTCAGACAGGGAGAAGTCTTTGGAAGCTGATGTGAAATATTTGAATTCCAGAGTCTGTTATGTGATTCGAGTGATTCTGTTTGGTAAAAAAAAAAAAGCTGATCCGGGTTTAAGAGGAAAGTTTGCAATTACAGGTAACCTGGTTTGTTTGTAGGCTGAGCAGAAGAATATATCACAGATGTTGATATCAGAACATAAATTATCTAAAGGCACTTCACAGAGTTAGGTCTGGTAATTATAGCATATCCACTAACTCACCTCAAACATCACAAATCCACACACAGTCTCACTCACTTCCTGACTTTTCTGCCCTTTTTTCTTAAGACAGACAGATGAGACCTGACCTTCTTAATACATCTGTCACCAGAATACCCATTGTTACTGTCGGCCTGTGTGACCTTTAGAGGATAATGATAGGGAGACACACACTGACGGTGACACACCCATAATTCAGACAGCCACAGCAGACCGCAACACGTTACGCCTGGCAGAGATGAACTCTCACGGCAATTCCCAAATGGGATTTTCTGCTTCAACTGGGTCCTTCTGGGGACTACACCTACAAGACAAGGCACTGAAGCAGGTCCATTATTCATGGACATTCTGCAAAACAATGACGCAGAGTGTTCGGAGATACCTGGCCGAAATTAACTACGGAGGCTTGCATTATTCCCCTGGGGGACATTTTCAGAGTCAGACAATGAAGGTGTTAAAGGTTACTCATGGCGATTGACAAAAAAACAATGAAGCAAAGACCTGTAAGTGAGATAATCCTTGTATTGTCTTCTGGGAAGATCCAGAGTAAAAAGTCGCAAGTTCATTATTTAGGGTATAAATATTTTATTATAGATTTTAAAATATTCAGAATGTGATAAACTGTGTCTCCACTGCTCCTAAGTTTTACACAGCACGCTATAGGTACAGGAAGAGTTAAGAAACCCTCACATGATGAAAAATTAATAATTTTTCATAGTAGTTCTCCATGCAAAACCTTTGCAGGACATTCCTACATATCATATTTAACCACTTACGATATATTTTGACACATCGAATGAGAGTATCACCTCGTAAAAGAGCTCACTTTCTTTCAGCTCACAGTGAATACCAGTAAATAAACTTGCTGTTGCTGGTCTGGGCACAGATTAACAAATGTGGCCGTCTTCTCTTTGGGAATGCAAATACCAGTCAGCATCTGATAATATGGAATCCATTATTAAAGCCAAAGGATGTTGACAGCAAAGCGCGTCTGACTGAAATTAATTAGCTTGACTTGAACAGCATCAGAACAAATAGCTTCCTTCTTATCCAGCCTCATAATTTTTGCATGGAGGCCGCTCACTCCTCAGCAACTACAGTCACTGCTCGGCTACATTTTCCACATCCATGTACCAAAAAACACGTTTCCCAACTATCTTTGTACCTCCGTGTTTAATGGGAGCTTGATTGAAACCCTTAACACACACTGAGACAGCAATATTGTTTGCCTGAAAGTTTCAAACTACAAATTATAAAGATGTCTAGATTGGCAATGATAGGTTTCCCAGGTATCAACATTTTCAAATCAGTAATTAAAATTAGTCATTCATTGTTTGCCGCTGATTCCTCCATTCAATACCTGATATGAGATCATGTAGAGAAACAAGCAGAAAAAAGTCCACAAAATGTAAGTACGTATGTTTTCTAGTTTATTCTCCAACAGAGGAAGTTAAATAAAAGTGAAAGGCACAACACAGCTAATGAGTTTCATTTTGGTCTCTTTTGGACCATCTTAACTTTGGTTAATATTCTGTTTTGATGTTTTTTTAGGAGAATATCAAATGTAAATAAATCTACAGATTACTTTTTACCTGAAAAACATCACAGAGGAGGTGAGGTCCTCTTTTAGCCCTGAAGGTCTTCCTCTCAATAACACATCACAAGCAGCAGCTTTATTTACGGTTCTCCTAAAAGATGTATATGTAAAGGACAATAAAAATGATTTAGCATTAGCAGATTAACAGTACGGACATTTAGCATTTTATGCAAAGCTCAATAACCAGTTTAGGCTGCTGTTAGTGAAACTGCCCACTTCCCACACAAGTTTTTCACATTAAAAGCTTTCCAGCAGCGCAGCGGAAACTTTATCGCCAGACATAAACGCGGATGTTTTGCAACACACCTTTTTAACATTCAGTGCCCGTGTTTTTAAATTTGTACTTAATATGTGCAGAAGGCAAGAATGACATTTAAATGCATCCAATAATTTGCTTTAATGCAGGAGCTAGTCCTTGTAATGGAGTATTTTTACACTGTGGTACTTTTACTGAAGGATTTGAGTATTCCTTCCTTCCTCTGGCTTTCTTCTTTTGTGGTGGTTTTCAGTCAATCAGTCAATCCAGCTCACCACACTTTCACCCTTACAACACACTTAAACTCCCTCATTTGGACTCTACTCTCCTTCATCTCTGAGCAACTTAAATCCAGAGAGCTCTAAAATACTGTCTTTATGCACTTTATTATATTATGCTTTGCAGTGAAGGGGATATCAAGCTTAAGCACAGATCACTGACTAATGTATTTCTTCAGGCAAAACTGATGCAGCATAGTTGGTATAAATATTTATAAGTTAAATATTTATATCTCCCCGCAAATTGGTCGCTGGACTACATTTTTAATCCCGCAAGAAGGAGGAAAAAAAAAGAAAGATAAACAGGACGAGCGTTCGATTTCTCCAAGTCATGTGTCCACTTCTTGTGCCGGCTCTGCTGATACTTCATCATCGTGAGAGATATTTAGATATTCAGTTTTATTCTCAGATCCCTCTCATCCACACCGCCGTTCCCCTCCTCCCCAAATAAACACATCCGCCCAGAATGCTTCGCTGTTGCTTTGTCCTCCAGGCAGCCTCTGAGTGATGCTCCTTGTGTGTGACGGGCAGGAATAAGGGTAAACACGACCATTCAACCAGCGCTTAGGGGTGGCGATGAACTTCTGTCACATGTGTAATAAACAAAACTGTGCGGCACCTGCGGATATGAGTGGCATTTCGAGGATTGCTTTGGTGTGTGTGTGTGTAGCTAATTTCATAAACATGCTTTTGTCTTGTTCATTCCTCAGAATCAAACAGAAAGACCTTTGAAAGAAACAAAAGGAAATCATTTGCATACCTGGCTGTTTACTTGAAGTCTGCCTGTGAGGAAGAAAATGAAAAATGGTGCAAACTGTCGGCTCTGCTTTACTGAGCATCTGGCCTGAGGTGCGATCAACACCTGTGTGTCTCAGTAGCAGCCGTAGTGTGGATCCATCTGACTGTAGTGTACTGCAGTAGAGTACAATTTGAGCCTCCGAATTAGCTATTGGCAGTTCCTTTTTGCAATGTGCTCGAGGATATAAATAACCGTCGGAGAATGTAAATCACACTCAATCTAAAAA